CTATCTTCTGTTAAGCACAGAGATGTGCAAAAATGCAAAACAATGCCACTCTTCTCACTAAATTTTTTTGTTTTAGAAAATGGTTATTTCTCATAAAAATATTATTGATGTTAACATGTAATTGGCTCATTATCTTGAAGTGAATTAATAGAGAAATTTTTTTTAAATTCCTCAATTTTAATCTCAAAGATGGTATTATCAATAGATATAAATAACCCACATAAACAAAAACTCTTTGGGTCATCAATTTTTTTTCAAGAGACTTTATTTTTCAGAGCAGTTTTAGGTTCACAGCAAAGTGAGAGGTGAGTGGAAGGTACAGAGATTTCCCATATACCCCCTGCCCTCACACATGCACAGCCTCTTCCATTATCAACATTCCCCCACCAGAGTGGTATGTTTGTTACAGTTGATGAACCTACATTGTGTAGGGGAGTAATTTTCCCTTTACCCTCTGAGCTCTTAGCTGAGACCTCTGTAATAAAAGACAGATTAAAAAGGGAAAAACAAATAGAAGTTTATTAACATATATACCTCATGTGTATATGGGAGATACCCAGGGAAAAATAGTAACTCTCTGAGGTGACTTAGAATTCAAGCTTGAATACCATCTTAAGAGGGAAAAGGGATGGGGGATGTAGGCCTCTTAGGGGAGAGTAAATGGTTTTTAGGAAAGATGAATGGGCCCTTAGAAGAATAGATGGGAGATATGATAGTTTGTGATGAAGTTTGTCTGGGTGTCAACTTCTGGTTTCTTCTGGTGATCTGAGTTAGTCTTCCCTGGTTGATGAAACTCCCAGAGAGGGGATTTATGATAATTGAGTTCCTTTTGGAGGATCTGTCTTTAGGCAGATAATGTGTTCAAAGAAAGCCTCTTTCTGCATTTGCTGCTTTTCAAGTGTCTACAGCTGAAAAGAATCAATATACTAAAGCAGCATATTTTGGGGCAGCGTGTCCTGAACTTCCACAGTCATAGTTTGGGGTGGTATATTCTGCTACCCTTCATTCAACACACCATAGTCCATAGTTTACGTTAGGGTTCACTCTTGCATTCTTTGGATTTGGACAAATGTGTAATGACATGTATTCACCATTACAGTTTCATACAGAGTATTTTCACTGCCCTTAAAATCCTCTGTGATCCATCTGTTCATCTCTCCCTCCCTCCACCCTAATCCCTGGCAACCACTGATCTTTTTACTGCCTTCATAATTTTGCCTTTTCCAGAATGTCAAATACTTGGAATCATATAGTAAATAGCCTTTTCAGATTGACTCATTTCACTTAATAATATGCATTTAAGTTTCCTCTATGTCTTTTCATGCATGGCTTGATAGCTCATTTCTTTTTAGCACTGAATAATATTCCATTGTCTGGATGTACCACAGTTTATCCATTCACCTACTGGAGGACATCCCACTTGCTTCTAAGTTTTGGAAATTATGAATAAAGCTCCTATAAACATCCATGTGCAGGGTTTTATGTGGACATAAGTTTCTAGCTCCCTTGAGTAAATAAATACCAAGGAGTGTAATTGCTAGATCAGGTGGTAAGAGTGTGTTTAGTTTTGTGGGAAACTGCCAAATTGTCTTCCAAAGTGTTACATTTCTACCAGCGACGTATGACAGTACCTGTTGCTCCACACCCTCACCAGTATTTGGTGGTGTCAGTGTTGTGGATTTTGGCCATTCTAATGGGTGTATAGTGGTATCTCATTTTAATTTGCAGTTCCCTGATGACATGTGACGTGGAGCACTTTTTCATATGCTTATTTGCCATCTGTATATCTTCTTTGGTGAGGTGTATTTTGAATAACAGTCTTTTATCAGATGTGTCTTTTGCAAATATTTTCTCCCAGTTTGTGGCTTGTCTTCTCATTCTCCTGACAATCTCTTCACAGAGCAGAAATTTTTAATTTTAATGAAGTCCAGTTTATCTTTCTTTCTTTCACGGATTATGATTTTGATATTGGATCTAAACAGTCATTGCCAAACCTAAGGTTATCTAGATTTTCTCCTATGTTATCATCTAGGAGTTTAATAGTTTTGCGTTTTACATTTAGGTCTGTGATCCATTTTGACTTAATTTGTGTGAAGGATGTAAAGTTTGTCTAGATTCATTTTTTCACATGTGGATGTTTAGTTGTTCCTCTGCCATTTGTGAAAAGACTATCTTTCTTCCATTGGATTGCCTTTGCTCCTTTGGCAAAGGTCAGTTGACTGTATGTACATGGGTCCATTTCTCGGCTCTCTATTCTGTTCCATTGCTCTATTTGTCTCTTCTTTCACCAATACCACGCTGTCTTGATTATTATATTTATAGTAAGTCTTGAAGTCTGGTAGTGTCAATCTTCTAATTTTGTGCTACTCCTTCAATATTGTGTTGGCTATTCTGGGTCTTTGGGTCTTCAATTTTTAAGAGTCTAAAGGGGAGTCCTGAGACCAAAAAGTTTAAAAACTACTGTTGTAGAGAAAGATGGACAGACACACAAATGAACGCATTACATTTTTGTTCTAGGAAAGAGGACAGAATGTAGTGGAGGGGAAGCTGAACTGAGTTTTGTACATCCTACAGCCTTGTTCTGGGGGCTGAGTAAGCCGGTTGCTTTAGGGTACATCTCTGAGAGCCCAAATTTAGATGCCGAGTGACGCAGACATGAGCCTGGTCTCAGGAGAGAATCCTAGAGGGGCATAGGACGTGAACTATTGACCTCCCTTGGGACTAGAGAACACAGGGCAGAGTAGGGCGGTTTGTAGTTGCTTCTTTCACTTCTCTGAGAGAAAGGTGGGTCTTGGTTATTAGGGTTGTGCATGTAAATCAAGTTCTGTGTCTCTTTATCCTCATAATTAAAACTCTTGTTAAATCCCAAGAGTAAACCATGTTAAAAGGGGAACAGTCACATCTTGTACTGCTCACCTGCCACCCTTGAAGTTCTGCAGGAAACACATGCAGAGAGGAAAAGGTGGTGTTTTGGTCTCAAACCCCAGGATAAAAAAAAAATCCCCTGGTCTGCTGGGCCCTCTGGAGAGAAAGCTTTATTTGCTGAAAGAGGCCTGTTGCTTACTCTACTCTATTCGCCCAGGTCCCACCCCATTCTCAGACACTCCAGGGGTGAGAGAGGCCTGCAGCCGACTCGAGCAGAGCTGAGTATCGCGTGGGCCACCCATCTCTCGCCTACATGGCAGGCCACACAGCTGCTTCCAGGCCCAGGTGACCTTATCAGCTGCAGGAGAATCATGAGGGATCTGAAGAGCAAGCCAAAGCAAGCAAGCCTGAAGGCCAAGCCTTCCTGTACCCTAGCCATGTGGAAGGACATCACCCCCACATGGAAGGGACCACCCTGATGGCCTCCCATCCTTTAGCCATTTGCCACATACTCTGAAAGCACCGCTCCTTGTACTGTGCCAAAAGTAACAGCATTCCTGCTGGGGAGGCAGGGCTGTTGTTTACCAGGGGGACGCCGGTGGGTTCAGAGGGTCCCTAAAGGTCCAGATGTCAGGTATGTGTGCTATTTTATAGGGAGAAGGTCTAGAGATTTCATCAAATTTTCAAAGGCAGGGGGAAGTCCTTGCTCAAAAAACATTAAGAATCACGATCTTAGGGGCCAACACTAGTTATAGCTGTCCTGTTGAGGACTTCAAAAAGTCCATTCAGAAGCATTAATTCAACAAATAGCTGAGTTGTTCGCCTTGCCTGGCTCTGTGCTAAGGGCTGGGGAGGCAACAATAAGCAAGACCAGATGCGATCTGTGTGTGATTGAGGGGCACAGATATAAATCAAATAATCACACAAATGGGTGTCTAATTTTAAATCAAGTATTGCTCTGAAGGAAAGGAGCCTGGTTCTATGACAGATATAAGAGTGGATGTTTAGTTTTTGTTTTTATGTACTTAGTTTTGAATAGGTAATATATTCATGTTCAAAAATTCAAAAAGATTATATAGTGAAGTATATCCCTGCCCCCCCAACCCCCACGCCCCCCACACCACACCTAACCTTATCCCCTCGCCGCTCCCTGGAGGCCATGCGTGTTTTACAGACTGGTGAGTGGGCCTCCTGCTGTTAGACTGGGGGCAGAAGAGAAATCTTACCTGAGGATATAGTGCTTGAAAAGAAATTTGAAGTGTGAATTTGAGTTAACTAAGTGAAGAGGACTGGAAGGGGATAATGGAAGCACTCTAGACAGAGGCAACAGCTTGGGCAAAGGCCCTGTGGCAGGAGACAGCATGATATATTAGAAGAACTAAAAGAACGTCTGTGTGACTAGAGTGCAGAAAGCAAGGGGAGGAGAGGTCCAGGATGCTGCTGGATGGGGAGGAGACAGTCTTGTAGCCTGCTTCACATTATGGACTTTTTCCTATAAGTCCTGGGAGGTCACTGAATGATGAAGGGAGATAACCTTCAATCATACTTGCATTTTGAAAATATCACCCTGGCTATAGTATGAAGAATGGATTGGAGGGGGAAGCAATTAATGGGCTCCTATTTAGTTCAGGTGAGAAATTATGTGGCTTGGTCGTAGTAATATATCTATATCTATATCTATATATTGCAAGAACATGTATTGGTGTGCAAGGTTCTTGCTTCTCAAAAATGTTAACAAAACATTTGTTTCAATTCTCTCAGGTGAGTGGAAGAAAAATCCATAACAAGAGTTTGCTTAGAATGTAGTTAACACCTGGCTATATTTTCTCCAAGTATTTCGCCAGACTGACAGCATAATTTAGCATCCTGGAAAAGGTGGACAAACAAAGGGCTGAAGTCTCATAGAATCTTGCCAGAAGTCATCTGGTCCAGCCTCCCACGTGACCAACCCAAAGACATCTCCCCTCTGTGGGAGCCCTCCAGTGGCAGGAGGTTGTCATTCTTGTTACAAAGTTATAACAGAATGACCATGTGGGTGATGGTCACTAATTAGGAAACAAATAATTAAAACATCTGATGGCTGTAATTGTTTTGCTACTTGTACACTTAATTTTCTTTCTCTCCTCACCCCCCAGAATGGCTTATTCTGAGGAGCAAGGAGTTGTCCGTTGCGGTTTCATCCGCCAGAATTCCAGCAACTCCATTTCTTTGGACTTTGAGCCCAACACAGAGTACCGGTTTGTGGAGCAGTTAGAAGAGCGCTACAAATGTGCGTTCTGCCACTCCGTGCTTCACAACCCCCACCAGACAGGCTGTGGGCACCGCTTCTGCCAGCATTGCATCCTGTCCCTGAGGTGAGTGGGCAGGGCCTGCAGCTCTGCCAGAACCAGACACGGGTGTTCCTGGGATCTAAACGTCTTCTGTGGCCACTCGACTGTAATCGCGGTTTTTGGAATTGCTGTGCTTGGCCACAGAACCACGAATATGAGGAGGGGCTCTCCCAGGGCCATTCTCTGAGAGCCTGAGAAATAATCTTCCTTTTTTGCTACTCACTTATTGATATTCACCCTTTCTTAAAGTTCAGACCACACCTGCTTTGCATGCGAGGGCAAACCCAGATGCACAGTCTGTGGTGGGAAGGGCCTGCATCTCATGGGGATCCGTGTTGTAGTTACCCTGATCTTTCCCTGCCTTAAGGCAAAGATGGTGTCACATCCAGAAGGGATCTCGCTGCCGTGGATGCCGTCCACACCTGGGCAGCCATAAAACCTGGGTCATGCCATTTTGAGGGAGGAGACCAGAAGAGACACGGAAGCAGGCTTTTGGGGCTTATGTAGGGACAGTACGGAAGTTGTACCCTATCAAACTTGGAAAGGGGGTTATAACAGCACATTCTCATTCATTCATGGGTTTGTTCATTCAGCACCTGTGTGTTCCAGGCACCTTGCTAAACTCAGCTCTAGTGTACAGAGGTCCAGTGTAGAACAGGACACAGTCTCTGCCCTCTAGAACGTTCCAGTCTAGTGGTGGAGACAGGTTGTGGTGCAGTGTGATAAGCAAGGACTGCCATGGCAGCTCTGGCAGAGGGCATTTAACTCTGGGGGACTTGCTGTTTGACTTGCATACTGGAGGAAGAAGGGGAGTTTTTCAGGCAGACTAGACAGGTGCTGAAATTGGGGTGCTGGGGCCCTTCTGGGAGGAGGGAACAGCATGAGCAAAGACAGGGCCTGGCCTGCTCAGGGGGACCTTCAAGGGGTCAAGCGTGGCTGGAGTGCTGGGGCTGCTCTTGGAAGAGCTGTTGATGTCTGCTCTTAATTCTGGCTCTGTTTTTATTTTTCTCTCCAGAGAATTAAATGCAGTCCCACTCTGTCCTGTAGATAAGGAGGTTATCAAATCTCAGGAGGTAAGACAATCACTGTTTTGGTGTAGCAGCTCTCTGGGTGATGGAGAAGCCGGTGTCCTGGGTTGAACTGGACATAGAGGTTGGAGCAGGAGAGCAGGAGAGGGGGACCTTCCTTGGAGTCCATATTCCTCTGCTATGGGGTCAGGTCAGACCCCACTCCTAAGAGAGTCTTGTTTGGGTCTTTATTGACCCCCCTCCATGTTTCTTCTCCTGCTTCCTCCTTACCCCCTTCCTATACTAGCTCCAGTTACATTGAGTCGCTTGGAGAAATGAAACATCCTGTTTCCTGGAATTCACTTTCTCATCTGGTTAATTTCTAAAACTTCTTTTTATTATTATGATAATAGCTTTATTGAGATATAATTCATATGCCATAGAATTTACCTTTAAATTGTACATCTTTCTTGGGTATATACCTACGAGTGGAATTACTGGGTCATATGGTAACTATGTTTAACATTCTGAGGAACTGCCAGACTATTTTCCAAAGCAGCTGTGCTATTTTACATTCCTACCAGCAAGCTATGAGAGTTCTAATTTCTCCAGATGCTTGCCACAACTTGTTATTGTCTTTTTTTTTTTTTAATTTAATTTTTTCCCCCAAAGCCCCAGTAGATAGTTGTATGTCATAGTTACACATCCTTCTAGTTGCTGTATGTGGGATGCAGCCTCAGCATGGCCGGAGAAGCGGTGCGTCGGTGTGCGCCCGGGATCGAACCCGGGCCGCCAGCAGCGGAGCGCCCACACATAACTGCTAAGCCACGGGGCCAGCCCTGTTATTGTCTTTTTGAGTATAGCTTTCCTAGTGGATATGAAGAGGTATCTCGTGGTTTTGATTTGCAGTTCTCTAATGATTAATGATGTTGAGCATCTTTTCATGTGCTTGGCCGTTTGTATATCTTCTTTGTAGAAATGCCTACTCAAGTCCTTTGCCAATTTTTAAAGTGGATTATTTATCCTTTATTGTTGAGTTCTAAGAATTCTTTATTCTGGATACAAGTCCCTTATCAAATATATGATGTGCAAATAATTTTCTCCCATTTTGTGGATTGTCTTTTCACTTCCTTGATGATGTCCCTTGAAGCACAAAAGTTTTTCATTTTGGTCAAGTCTTATCTATCTTTTGTTTGTTTGTTTGTTTTGGTCGCTTGTGTTTTTAGTGTTGTGTCTAAGAAGCCATTACCTAAGTCAAGGTCATGAAGATTTTTCTCTCTTAAAACTTCCTTTTATGCTCAGTTTTCTTCCTTTAAAATTCCGTTACAGGACATTCAAGCATCACCTCCTCCAGGAACCTCCCTGAGCACCTAGTCTGATGTACATGCTCCTTCTCGATGCTCTTATGAATCATTTTGCAAATGCCTAGCAGGGAGCAGTGCTGTACTTGTGTCTGCCTCAACCACTGCCAGGGGTTGGCAGGCTGCAACATGGGGTGTGTTGGGACAAATCCAGCTTGACACCTGTTTTTGTATGGCCTGTAAACTAAGAATGGTTTTTATATTTTTAATGGCTGAAAAAAATCAAAAGAAGGGTACGCGGGAACTCTGTACTATTTTTGCAACTTCTTGCGAGTGTTTAAACTATTTCAAAATAAAAATTTATTTTAAAAATCAAAAGAATAATGTGTTGTGAACATGTGAAAATGATATGAAATTCACATTTCCGTGTCCATAAAGTTTTATTGGAACACAGTCATGCCCACTCATTTAAGTATTGTGTTTGGCAGAGTTGAATCGTTGCAATAGAGAACGTTGCAGTGTGGACTGCAAAGCTGAAAATATTTATTATCTGACCTTTTATGGATAAAGTTTGCCAACCCCTGGTTTGTGCCGAAATAGCAAGTCAGCACAGTTTCAGTGACACTACCTGATGACTAATACAAATGTTTACGCTGGAACAGGAAGTTGAAAGCATCACCTTCAGCCACAGCCCTACCTCCTGACCTTTGAGCATGTGGGGTCACGTTCACCATGCGATTTTCCTAACTGCAGCCTACTGTGCTGGGCACTGAATTACCTGGGTTGTATGTTTGGTGGTCTGTCAGAAGTAAGTATCTGAGACAGCCTTTTTTTTATGGCGGTGAATCTGATATTTCCATTCCAACCACTGTCTGGAAATTTCCACCCGACTTTTGAGATGTACTTGAAGACCAAATTAATAATAGCTTCATTCACGTTGCTCTAAAGCTTTGCAATATATGAGACCTATTATGTTTATCTTTTAGGTGTTTAAAGACAATTGCTGCAAAAGGGAAGTCCTCAATTTATATGTATATTGCAAAAATGCTCCTGGATGTAATGCCAAGATTATTCTGGGACGATACCAGGTTGGTATTACTCGAGAACAATATTTGCCTTTACCCTTTTTCTAGTGACATGTATTGAACACCTTTATGTGACAGTTCCTGGGCTAAGCAGGGTAGGGGGATTCCTGGGGTTGCCCTCAGACAATTCCTGTCTGGCAGTACAGTAGGCTACAGTGCAGCATGCCAAGGGCTAAGGTGTGAGTGAAAAAGTTCGTTTTGTATGGAACGCATGGAGGACGTGCTATGTGTGCTAGACCTTAAATTGTGGGTTAGGGACATTGATCTAAAAGAGATGTGGGACATGCTGGGCAAAAGGAACCATCAGGCAAGGACATGTCATTTATGAGGAACTGTGAAGGATTTGGGGTCCCTAGGGTGGGAGCCAGGGTGTGACTGCAGAAAGACACGATTGTAAGGGTCCCTGCCCAGAAGCATTTGCAGGTGCTGGGGCCGGTGTTTCCCAGCAGCTGTGGGCCCTGGCCTCTTGAGTTTATGATCTAAGGCGGATAACAGACCAGAACAGGACTAGGTTGTAGTTAGGTGTAGTTTAAACTAGGTGTAGTTTCAAGGCATTGGTAAGAGATGCAAACAAACGAGGTGGAGGGGAAGTGAAGGGGAATCGAGTTCCTTTCAAATGAAACCGTCCCACCTTGCTCTTCCGTCCAGCTGGGGAAGGTTGTTAGATGCGCAGCTGGAAATGTGGCCCTCCATGGCAGGCCCGTAGCAGGTTGGATCACACCGTGAATGAATAAGACACAGGCGTCTCTAGCTTCCGGGGAATTGCTTGGAGGCTGCTGAAATTTTCCCCTTCTGCCCACACCTTTTGGAATGTATTGCAGTTGATTGACTTTTGTCTCCATCATGCCTCTAAACCCCCCAGGCGCTGAGCTTATAAATGTGTAAATGATTTCCTGGTTAACCCAGGGATTTCTTTGGAGGTTCACAGAACTTTTTTGTGTTTTCCTGTGATAGTCCTGGCAGCTTGTTTTGATAGTCAGGTAGACAGAGCAGGGCCTCTTTTCCAACTTCATTGTCGCTAAGCCTGAAAAGGAAATGAGGCTCAAAGGGGCTATTGATCAGCTTTAGTGACCAGATCATCAGCTCCTAGAGAACAGTGGCTGGTTTCTTTTTTATTTCTCCTCATTCCCTGTTCTCTCTCTCCCCACTTCGCCTTGTGTGGTAAGGTGGAGGATCTCACAGGTAGCAGAGTCTTGATGAATGCTGACTCCTTTGGTGAGAGTTGAGGGATAGCATCGATGAATTTTGGAGATGATGTGAATTTCAGTCGTCACTATTTGTTTCTTATTACTAGAGGCGAAAGAGAATAGCTATAATATTTATCTCCCGTAGGAAAACTGTTGGCTCTTTTCTCCTTCAGAGAAGGGGTTAGCAAATTGTTTCTGTCAGGAACAGATAGTAAATTTTTTAGGCTTTGCAGGCCATATACAGTCTCTATCACAACTATGCAACTCCACCGTTTCAGAGGGACAGCAGCCATAGGCAATATGTGAACAAATAGGTGTGGCTGTTCTCCAATAAAACTTTATTTCCAGAAACAAGTAGCAGGCCATATTTGGCGTAAGGGCCATAGCTTGCCAACCCTGTTTTAAGGATCCTGCAGGGAGATAAGCTCACTAGGATTTTGATAACTTGTCAGCATCACAATTTTTGCACATGCTCCAAACGTTTTATTAAGATGTTCCTGCTTTTAAAAATCTATAACATGAAGAACACGGGAATGAACACTGTCCATGTCATCATTCTCTCATCTTCTGGTTAAGAACATTTCCCGACTTTACAAGACGGACCATTCCCAGCTTCTCTTGGGCCTGTGATCCTGTGTTTCCTCTGTCTCCTTATCTTTATCACTTCAGGAACAGCTTCCTCTCCCTCTCTTCTTCCTTAATCCTTTCCCTTCCTTCATGTACTTAGGATATGCCTTCTCTTCTTCCTTCTTCCTCTGTCCTGGCTTTTACCATCTACTGTGCAGCGATTAGTACTTGTGCTAGGAGTAGGGATGGAGGATACACAAAAGAAATAAAAATGTCCTTGAAGAACTGGTAAATTAATTGGCAAGCCAAAGGAAAATATTTAAGAACTAACCTGAGAATATGAATACGTTACTAGATAATCTAAAATAAACTCGGTGTGCTCCCTTCTTCACCCGTCTTCCCCTGTCCTCCTAACTCCCACCAAACAAGGCTGGCTTTCACAGGCTCGGTCCAAGCAGCCCTCTCCGTGTCCTCTCCTCAGCAGAGGCAGGGGTGGCCTCTGCTGAGAACATGTGGGCAGAGGCTGCCCGCCCTGTCCTGCGGTCCTTTCTGCCCAGCTGCCCCCAGTGTCCTCCCTCCCTCCCTAGGCCTTCTTGCTGGCTCCCCCTCCCGCTGTCCTGGTCAGTGGCTCCCACTGGCCTCTTGTTATCTGTTGCAGGACCACCTTCAGCAGTGCTTATTTCAAGCTGTGCAGTGTTCTAATGAGCACTGTCAGGAACCAGTCCTTCGGAAAAATCTGAAAGAGCATTTGAGTGCATACTGCCAGTTTCGAGAAGAAAAATGCCTTTATTGCAAAAAGGATGTGGTAGTAATCAATCTACAGGTAAAAAGAAAATAAATCATCTTTATGGGACTAAATTACACCTGAGTGGTCACAGTGAATCAGACAGGGTACCAGGGGCACATTTCTGGATTTATTTTTGTACAGAAATAGGTCTAAAGAATGACTTGATCAGAGAGTTCTGTAAAAAGCCAAAAACCTTCTTGTTGGTAGGACTCTATTCATTCATCATTGGCAAAAATATCATTTGAGCACCTGCTGAGTGTGAGTTTGCAAGGAGTGATGCTAGATGCTGGGTCACAAGGGGGTGACGATACTGTCTGTTCTCAGGATGCTGGGATCTAACTGGAGGGGCAGGATGTAGGCATAAAAAGAGAGCCTGGGGTACATTTTACATGTGCCGAAGGAGCCATACGATGACTCCCACAGTCTGCCCTCTGTGAATCCTGTCCCCTCTGACCTTCTTTTAGAATAACTGGGAAATTGAATTGATTTATACCAAGAAAGCAGCCATCTATAATCCTTTTTGGAACTAGGCCATACCTTCCTGTAGAGGGTAAGCCACAGAACACAGGTCCCCAAAGAGACATATGTATGAACACTCTGAGGCCACGAAAGGGACCCCTTGGAAGCAGGGGTTGGCTGTATTTCATCACTTTCTCTCTTTCAGAATCATGAGGAAAACTTGTGTCCTGAGTACCCGGTATCTTGTCCCAATAAGTGTTTGCAGATTATTCCAAGAACTGAGGTAACTGTAAATAATTCTCTCAGTAGATTTTACGTAGGATACAGTTTTAGTAATCATTGTGGTGTGTGTTTGGTAGAATCCCATAGGCAGAGGCCCAAGGTTTAAATTACACCCATGATAACCATGTGGTCTGTCTTCCTTTCCCTTTTCCCTGAGAATTCTTCTCAGTTTTCACCGTAGCTCTCCCTCCACCAGGCCTTAGCATGGCTTTTTTCCCCTCTGTTGCCTCCCTTCTTCCCAAGCCACCCTTGGTTCCCTGCTTGCTGCAGTTGTACCAGGTAGCTGGAGAATCGGTGATGAATTTCTGTAGCATGAGGCTGTCCATTTCGTAGGTGGATGAACACCTTGCTGTGTGTCCTGAAGCTGAACAAGACTGTCCTTTCAAGCACTATGGCTGTCCTGTCAAGGTATGGAATACCTTTTTTTCCTGCCTCTACGTTCGATTGTATACTTTGCTTGGCAAGTTCATTCTACTCTTAGATTCCATTCAGGATGCAGAAGGACATTCACTTCTGAGAACTGTAAGACTGGCAATTATATTAGTTAGGGTTCTCCAGAGAAACAGAACCAATAGGAGATATATATATGGGGTGGAGGGAGGGAGAGGGAGAGAGGTTGATTGATTGATTGATTGATTTTTAAGAAATTAGCTCACGTGATTTGTGGGGGGCTGGCAAGTCTGAAATTTGCAGGGCAGGCCAACAGCCTGGAAACTCAGGTTGGGGTATCGATGTACTCTTGAGGGGAAGTGCTTCTTCTTCAGGAAACCTTAGTCTTTGCTCTTAAGGCCTTCAGCTGGGCTGATGAGGCCCTCCCACATTACGGAGGGTGACCTGCTTTGCTTCAAGTCAACTGATTGTAAATGTCAGTCTATAAAATACCTTCACAGAAACATCTAGACTAGTTTTGACCAAACACCTGGGCACCATAGCCTAGCCAAGCTGATACATAAAATTAACCATCATAGTCATTATTTCTAATTCGGACTCCACTGCCACTGCCAGGTTTTGGGAGCTTCTGGAGTCACTCTTCTGATGATTACAAACCTTGGTTTTATGGTTCCCCCCATCACCAAGTATTTGGAAACAAAATTGATTTGAAATCATGTTTTAAAGTGTATTCTGTTACCTTTTAAATACCTTTAAAAGTATTGTTCAGGGGCCGGCCCGGTGGTGCAAGCGGTTAAGTGCGCGCGGTCCGCTGCGGCGGCCCGGGGTTCGCCGGTTCGGATCCTGGACGCGCACCGACACACTGCTTGGCAAGCCATGCTGTGGCAGCGTCCCATATAAAGTGGAGGAAGATGGGCACGGATGTTAGCCCAGGGCCAGTCTTCCTCAGCAAAAAAAAAAAAGGAGGAGGATTGGCAGATGTTATCACAGGGCTGATCTCCTCACAAAAAAATAAAAAATAAAAATAAAAGTATTATTCACTATATTATATAAAATAAATTAAAAACAAAAGAAAATAAAGTTTGATCGCTCAGTCTTTTTAACAGATCCCAGATGGATCAAAGTTTTAGGCATTAAAATATATCATGTTCTGTATTGTTCCACATTTTCTGTTAATGGAAGTTACTCCAAAATAAAAAGTTTATTTTAAAAATTATAAAAATGCTAGGGAAAAAAAGATGAGTGAGTTTTCTTTTTATTCTTGAAATAAAGAAGGCCTTTCTTGATTAACACAAAACCAGAAGCCTTAATTTTGATAAGTTTAACTACAAATATTTAAAACTGCTGTATGATTTTTTAAAATACCATAAATAAAGTCAAATGGCAAACTACAAACAGGAGGTAAGTATCTACAACATATGATGAGACAAAGAAGGGGCTATTTTTCTTAATATATTCCGAAGAATTCATACCTGTAAATAGCTTATTTAACTTAATAGAAAAATAAACAAAGCAATATATAGGCCTTTTCAGAAAAAAATTCAGTTGGCTAATAGATGTAAGAAAAGACACTCAATTTCACTCCTAAATAAATGTAAATTATAAAAAGAAATATAATTTTCACCATCAAATTGTCAAAGATTGAAACAACTTTTTTGAGGGCAATTTGGTTATAACTATGAAAATAAAAAGTGAACCCACACATTGACCTTGCACTTCTGCTAGGAATTTATTTCACAGACATCTTTTCATAAGTATGCAATGATTACACACATATTCAAACACATACGCACACAAAGATGTTTATATATCAAAAAAAACACAAAAAACTAAAAACAACCTATAAGTACATCACTAAAGTGCCGACTATATAATTATATATTCATATTTTGGAATACTATGCATCTGATAAAAAGAATGAGGTGTATGTTTTAAAGAATTAAATATAGTATGATCTCTTTGTGTTAAAAATGTGTATATATCTTCCCTGACTCTGGTGAGTGAGACTTGGGAATTGGGGGTGGTGATGGAGAGAAAAGGGCTCTGAAAGGAATCTTCTTTACACTTGGGCCCAAACTTCCAGTTGGATTATATTCTAGAACTTACCTTAGTACCAGAGCTGAGGATGGGACTTGTTCTCTGGAAGAGGGGCCAACCCTAAACTGAAGGAAAATTGATGATAAATGTTTGTTTAGAGTCCACAGATCACCCAGAACTCCTAACAATTTTTTTTTACCAGTTTCTTTTTTTTCTTTAGTTTTTTTTTTATTGATGTCCTAATAGTTTATAACATTGTGAGATTCCAGTTGTACATTTTTATTTGTCAGTCACCATATAAATGTGCCCCTTCACCCTTGTGCCCACCCTCCAACTCCCTTCCCCCTGGTATCCACCAAACTAGAACACCTAACATTTACTAGTAATGTTGGAAGTTTGCAATTGGATACTCTAATGATCAGGGAAGAAGTAAACCTTTCTTCTTGCAAACATATTATTTGATTTTGAGGGCAACAAATTTGCATGGGCTGAAATTACAACTAGGTTTTACCTTTGGCCCGTAATAGCAGGACAGTGATAGAAGGCAGCATAGAAATGTGCTTGGTAAGAGGGAGAACTAACCTAGGCTTAAAACTGATCTGGAACTAACTCACCGAGGAGATAGGTTTTATATGGGAATAGTCGAGAGATGATAATCACTACACTTAACCCACAGTCATCTATTGCCAGGGTGAGGAAGGAAATCAGCATTTATCAGGTTTGATAGTGGCCTAATTCCCTGTAAGTTTAAAATTGTCTCATGGGTACTGTGCAATCTTAAAGCTGGGACCAGGAGGGGTCATTTTTCCTGCAACCCACCTTGAGACAAGTGAGCAAAGTTCTTAGAGTTCTGCGTTAGCAGAATATCCCACCAACACCTTCATTTTTGGAGCCTTTCAACAACCTAACTTATTTTTCTCTTCATATTGAAGGATAAACGGGGGAACCTGCGGGAGCATGAGCATTCAGCCTTACGGGACCACATGCTTCTGGTTTTAGAAAAGAACTTCCAATTAGAAAAACAGGTAAATATTCAAGGGTTCAAATATAATGGGAGGCAGCAGAATTGCTAGGATTTGCTATTGTTGGTATTTTTATAGTCTCCTCTGTGTCAGTGTAAGTTGACTGCAGGTAGATGTTTTTCTACTAAGCAGCCAGAGAAACTCATAGGATTATAGAACATTAGAACTGGAAGGTGCCGTTGAGATCTTTGAGTCCAACCTCCTCATTCAGCAGATGAAGTAACTAAGCTCAAAGAAATCTGGATGTGTTTGTAATTTGTAAGTGGCCTAATTCAATCTCAAACCCATGTCCCCTGATTCTCAGTCCAGTCCTCCCCGTGATATGCCATACTGCCTCTCTGCAGTCTATCCATACACCTTTTGGTTAATACCTGGCGCCTAGTAGATGCCTAGTAGGTGTTTGAGGTTTTTAAATTAAATCAGTATTACCATGACTATCTGTTCTAGGCACTATGGGTTTTATATATTTTGTGGTAAGTCTTAACTCCTACTTTTGAGAAGCTTTGCAACCTGATGAATGCATACGTACGTATTTATTTTACTGAGTTGCGATTATCAAGTGAAATTATGCGTGCATACGCCTGCCATGGTCCCTAGAGTATTCATAGTGGACCTCAATAAATGCTGATTCTATGGAGTAATTATAAAAGTTAATTATTTTGTTAGAAATCTCAGAGGATCAGAGTTTTCAAGCCCATATAGGGAAGAAGATGATCCATCTGCAGAGAAGGAGCTAAATTTTGCTACTGCAGACTGTTTTATTATATCTGAGTCCATATTAAAGCGGTGTGTGAGTTCCAGGGTCAGATCCTGGAGAAAATTAGTAAGAATGATTAAACTGTAGCTTGGATAGAAGGCATGCTGCCTCGTAACCATACCCAAATCCTTTCTGTATCGGTTGCCTCATTCATCCATCCATTCATTCAACAAACACTGGCCATATGTCAGGTACAATCTTAGTTGCTAAGGACACTGAGTTGAGGAAGACACAGCCTGTACCCTTGAAGAATTCACAAAAATGTAAACAGATAAGTTTCTGTGCCTCAAAGGACATGCTATGAGGGTACCCCATGTGTGGGGTACAGAGGCTGCAACGTTTACTCCAGGGGAGTTGGGGAAAGTCTTTCAAGGTAGGACATCCGAGCTGCCTTCTTGAAGGAAAAGAAGTTCTGTTGTTTAAATGTTGTAGAAAGGACATTCCAGAGGGAGAAAGTTTGTGCCAAGGCAGGGAGGCATGAGAGAGGCTGATGGTTCAAAAAAATGGGGTTTTGGAGTGGAGAGATGCCTGAGTGTGAGACAGGGAATGACTGGAGACTGGTCTGTTGAATCCAAATGGCCTTCCATGTAAACTAAGAAGTTTTGAACACTGTGCATTCAATTATTCTTTTTATTCACTCATATTCTGCCTTGTTTCAGAAAGGATTCAAGGACCCAAAGTTTGAACTAATGTTTGTCAGTAATAGGGAGCTAATGGAGGCTTTTAAATTGGAAAGTGTTTGGCCAACTAATTGTTTGTTTGGTTTTAAAAAATAAGTCAGCTGGTGGTAGCATGGAAGATGGATAGTGGGAGATACAAGAATGAGGACAGAGGGACCAGGTGGAAGGATGTTGTAGTGAACTAGACAATGTAGCAGGAGAGCCTGGCAGTTGATAAGAGTGAGGGCTCTGGAGCCAGAATCTCTGGGTTCAAGGACTGGCTCCACACTAGTCATATGAGTTTGGACAAGCTACTTAACCTCTCTCTTCCCCAGTTTACTCATTTGTCAAGTGGGGTTGCGGCGAGGATTAAATGAGATAATGTATTTAAGCTCTTAGCACAGTGCCTGGCACATAATAAGCATTTCAGTATTAGGTGATGCAAGATGCTGGAGGTGGTGGTGGTGGTGGTGATGGTGATGGCGAAGGCTCAACCAAGGCTGTGTCAGTGGGGATGGAGAGAGGGCATTGGGAGACATTCAGAGGGTGGAATGGCATGCTGTAAGCTTGGAAGGCAGGGAACACGGTAGTGTTATTCCTGAAATGGGCACTACAAGAACAGGAGCAGGTTAGAGATGGAGGGGAGAGGAGACACTGAGTTTGCTCTTGGTCAGGAGATATGTCTGGCGCCTAGGTGGAAATCAGCTCTCAGGGTCTTAATAGAGGATTCTGGGGCCAGAGATCAGATGGTTGTTATAGCTTTTGTGCATTCATTCATAAAATGTGGGTCAAATGCCCTCCGCGTGCCAGGCACTGTGCTAGGCTTTGAGGATAAAGAAATAAGTGAGATGTAGCCTCAAAAATTTAGTAGAGAAAAAAGACCAAAATAACCAAAAAAACCAATAAGAGTAATGAGATAAGTTATACACTAGAGTATGGTCAGGGTGTCTTGGAATTTGAGAGGTGGTCTGTGTAGATGGTACTAGTAAGGAAATATTTCTGAGAGGATATGCCTTTGAGTGGAGGCTTAAAAAGCAGTAGTTTCTAGATGAAGTTGGAAGTGTCTGAAAGAGCAAGGCCTGATGGGAAGTAGAAGTTGTGTAATCTTGCTGGGCCGAGCATATATGGGACATGAATGGGCATGAGGCTAAAAAGGTAGCCAGGGGCAGATCCTGTAGGGCCCGGTATGGCCTGTAAAAGAAGCCCACTAGAGATGGTTAAGTAGGGGGTGACAAGACCAGATCTGTCTCTTCATATTACTCTGGTCACAGTATGGAGTATAAATTGGAGGAAAACAGGATTAAAGACAGGGAGAGCATATTTATTCTTCCATGTAATGAATATTTATCATTTAACCTGGAACTGCCAGGTACCAGGCCAGTTGCTGGGGTTCCAGTGGCTCATGGGATCCATAGAGCTTCCCTTCTGGTGTGTGTGTGTGTGAAGGATAGTTTAGGACCACTTAGGAAGCTGTTGTAGTAGTCCAGGTGAGAAATAAGGAAGGCTGAAACAAGATGAGATGAAATGAGAAATAGATGTGAGAGTTGTTTTGTTGTGTGTTAGGAGTTCAAGTTGGCAAAAATTATTGATTGAATGGATGTGAGGATGAGAAAAGTGTTGTCTAGGATCACTCTTAGGTTTTTGGTATTTCTCTCAAATGAATTACAAATTCTGAGAGGGTAATGTGTTTTCCCTACCACGTGCTAGCCATATGCTGGGCAGATTACTTAAACTCTCTGCCTCTGTTTTCTCATCTGTAAAATGGGACTGATATTCACACCCAACTCATAGAGTTCTTTGAGGATTAAAAGAGCTAATGAATATAAGGGTATGATAGACATTCAGCAGATTTCAGCCATTACCATCGATACTGTGCATATAACATCTATTGTGGTAGGGTGATCAGTACTCTGTGCTTGGTTAATAACTGCATACTGAATGAAGGAAGAGGACCAGTTCAGTAAATTCAGTCAAGTGATGTCACTGTCATTAGATGTACCATCATAGTGGGTTAGGTATAGAAAAGGCTCATGAGAAATCATGGATCTGGTATTTTTGAAGCAGCTGCAAATATTTTCCTAGAATTATATAGGAATCTACCTGTAAATATTTTGTTAGAAACACTTACTTACCTGCAATATTTTCCTAGAACTGTATTTAAATTATTTTAACTTGTCTGCATGCATTTAAATGACTTTATTCACATTCCTGTTATTAGATTTCTGACTTATATAGGAGCCTAGAACGGAAAGAAAGTAAAATCCAGCAGCTAACAGAAACTGTAAATAAATTCGAAAAGGAGTTCAAGCAGTTTGCACAGCTGTTTGGCAAAAATGGAAGCTTCCTCTCAAACATCCAGGTGAGAAAGGGCCTTTCTATTCATGGCCAAGATTTAGCCTTCAACTGGCAGTGAGGGTTTTTCTTATAACTTTTTAAATGGATATAATTTCAAATGTACAGAAAAGCTGCAAGAATAAGATAGTGCAAAAAACACTTGTATATTCTCCATCCAGCTTCACCCATTGTCAATATTTAGTCCCATTTGCTTCATCATTGGTGGATTCACTCCTTGTCAGTATTTTGTCCCATTTGCTTCATCATTCATTCATTGTCTCTGTGTGTCTGTGTGTGTGTGTTCTTGCGGAACCATTTGAGAGTAAGCAGTATATATCATGGCCCTTTAGTCCTACCTACTTCAGTATGTATTTCATAAGAATAAAGATCTTCTTTTACATAACCCCTGTGCATTTACAAGGTCAGTAAATTTAACATTGATATAATACTTTTAAATAAATTATGGCAATTGGGGTTTTAATTAATGTTGGGCCAATATTAGACACTTGATTGCAGATTCATTGAGAGCATCTATAGTTCTGCCTTTTGTAGTCAACAAAATGAAACTATTAATTCCTTTGGGAAGAAAATGCTTTAAACATCACTAAAATACAGCAAAAATTACTTTGTAAATAATAAATAACCATAAACTAATTCCTAATGAATAATGTCTTTATTGTGATTATAAAATTTATAGTGAAAAAGACTTTAAGACATGTGGTATGGGCAATATTTTTGAAATTTGGATTATCCCAGAACATGCAGGCCATATAATTCCCATACTCCGTTAGCCCAATAGGTGTGTGTATATATGTAGAAAAAAGGAAGTCCATCATACGTTACAATCTCAATTCTGACCTTTTTCTAACACAAAAACCAGTCAGAGTTAAGGTACTGAAGGCAAGAGTGGAGGAGAAATATAGTCGTAGTTTTATTTAATCTATTCCATCTAAAGAGAGCAATCAGAAGTTCAGACTTTGCCTCAGGGCACTTCTGTACCACCTGTAGTGCCCAGGCCAGAAGAGGTGGGCCTACTTCCAGCTCACTCACTGTCTTCTGGCAGAGAAGGAGTGAATCAAGAGCTTCTAAGAAGAGAAGGAAGTGATAAAGCAAGAGGAGAGAGAACATGAGAATAGAGAGATAAAGACAGGTTAGAGAACCAAGTGGAGAGAAATTAAGAGAGGAGTAAAAATGAGATGAAGAGAAGGTCAAAGATTTGGAACAGGAGCTGGGATAGGGAGGAGAAGGAGGATATTAGTGGCTCATCTCTCTGTGATCCTCACTGAATTTTCTCTTCTGGACTGTGCATTTTTCATTTCATTAATTGATTAATTAATTGTGAAATGTTTGAGTTGAAAAAATTAAATCTCAGTGAATTATTAAGATATTAACTAAGTTTTTTTTGACATTGTGATCCATTTTGTACTGAAAGGTTCTTGCCAGTCACATTGACAAGTCCACTTGGCTAGAAGCTCAAGTGCGTCAGTTATTACAAATGGCTAACCAGCAACAAAATAAATTTGATCTGAGGCCTTTGGTGGAAGCGATTGATACAGTGAAACAGAAAATTACCCTGCTAGAAACCAATGATCAAAGATTAGGTATGTCTAATATTTTACTCTTATAATAATATACTCAGAAGAGAATGTTATTCTCTTTTGGTGACTCGTTTGTCTGCACGTGTTGGTGAAACAAGCAAACACCTGGCCAAATGGAGAGTCACAGCTGTCCAGGATAAACAGTGGTTGAATCTGGTATTTGCGAAACAGAACAGCATGAGATTCTGGCCACTCAGGCAAAAATGACAGAGGGCCACAAGCAGGGGCTAGAACAGGCAAGGGGTGGAAATGGGCCAGGACATTCCAAGAACAGGGAGTGATGGTTTTTAAGGAGAGTGGAAAATAATGAGAAAACTAAGGGAGAGAAGTGGGGGGAACATTGTTTTAAGTACAGAAAAATATAAAAGGGTTTGGCTGTTTAAAAGCCTTCTAGTTAGAAAGTGCTGGGGCTCACCGTGCTAACACATGCTAGTTGAATGCTGAGTGTGTCTTGTCTACACTTTGGGGAGCGTCAGTTTAAGAGGACGCCTTCTGGTGTCCTGGTTGCCACTCTTGGCAAGACATGCGATTCACTAACATTATTAATACAAATGGTCCGGGGCAGCCCGGTGCGCGCGCTCCACTGCGGCGGCCTGGGGTTCGGAACCCCGGGCGCGCACGGATGCACCGCTTGTCAGGCCATGCTATGGCTACATCCCATATAAAGTGGAGGAAGATGGGCAGGATGTTAGCCCAGGGCCAGTCTTCCTCAGCAAAAAAAAAAAGAGGAGGATTGGTATGGATGTTAGCTCAGGGCTGATCTTCCTCACACACACAAAAAAAATACAAATGGTCCATTGGTGGACACTGAATTTCGTTCATCTTTAGGATGTCAGAATTTTATTGGTTGTCTTCAGATAACAAATTCCACTTTGGGAAAATTCTAAAGATAATATTAAGGCCTACGGAAACTTTTTTTTTCTTTGCAGTTGTTTTGGAAGGAGAGACTAACAAACATGATGCCCACATTAATATTCATAAAGCACAGCTGAACAAAAATGAAGAACGATTTAAACTGCTAGAAGGTGCCTGCTATAATGGAAAGCTCATCTGGAAGGTGACAGACTACAAGATGAAGAAGAGGGAGGCTCTGGACGGGCACACGGTATCCGTCTTCAGCCAGCCCTTCTACACCAGCCGGTGTGGCTACCGGCTCTGTGCTAGAGCATACCTGAATGGGGATGGATCCGGGAAGGGGACGCACCTGTCGCTGTACTTTGTGGTGATGCGAGGGGAGTTTGACTCACTGTTGCAGTGGCCATTCAGGCAGAGGGTGACCCTGATGCTTTTGGACCAGAGTGGCAAAAAGAACCACATTGTGGAGACCTTCAAGGCTGACCCCAATAGCAGCAGCTTTAAACGACCCGATGGGGAGATGAACATTGCCTCTGGCTGTCCCCGCTTCGTGGCTCATTCCACTTTGGAGAATGCCAAGAACACCTACATTAAAGATGACACCCTGTTCTTGAAAGTGGCTGTGGATTTAACTGACCTGGAAGATCTCTAGTCACTGTTTCTAGGGTGATAAAAGGACTTCTTGGGTGCAGAAACACGGAGGGGGACACGTTCGATTCTCATATTGACTGAATTTAGCCTCGGCACACATTTGTATTTGGCTTTTTGCCCTTAATGTTTGAAGTCAGCTTAAAACTTCTCAAGTGCTCTCTTCTTTTTACATCTTACCCTGTTCCAGTTTGAAACTTAAAACATTTATGATATCCTTTTGTTATTTATATTTTTATATCTCTTAAAAGATGTTCAGTTTCTTGAAAGCAAAGTCTGGGGCATCTCTCTTTTACTGGTGCGTAGCATGGGATCTCAGGGTAGGTATTCTATAAAGTCAAATGTTATTGAGGACACAGAGATAGAATTCCCAATTGAAAATGCTTTGGTATTTTATTATTTGGTCTGCTGATTCTAGACCTGACGGTACCTGCAAAAGCCACTTTTTAGGGTAGGCTGTTCCAGTTAAGTAGATGGGTGGTATACTTACAAAGATAATATGCCCAGTTTGGATCAGACTTTTTTTGGTCACATACTAAATTTGTGGAAATTACTATATCTCTATTTTCATGAAATTTATCAGTAGTCAGCAAGCATGAGATTGCAAGGCTGCACAGGAACTGGTGAATGGAGTAAGCGTTTTCATTCTCTCTGCTGAAGTAAAGCAAAAAATACTGCATAGTATATATATAAGGAGATATAGCCATCCAACTGAAGTTCAGATTTTATTAGGTTCAACCATGTGAAAAAACTTTGCATAGGTAAAAAATGTTCGCATATTAGCAATTTCATAAGGTTCAACTTAATAAATATCTATAGTCCTGCACCGCATAACGATGTTTCAGTCATCGATGGACCATATATATGACGGGGATCCCCTAAGATTAGTACCATATACCCTAGGTGCATAGTAGGGTTTGTGTGAGTACACTCTATGATGTTCACACAATGACAAAAATCGCCTAGGACACATTTTTCAGAACGTATCCCTGTCGTTAAGCAACACATGACTGAATATATACATGTATATGTATACAAATAGTTTAAAGGTATTTTGGTAATAATAGTAAATTAATGTGAGGATGGGCAGAATTTAGTATATGAAGGAGAAACTGTCATAAATGGATAAGAGGAATTGAAAACCTAGGGGGAGTTATTACAATTTCCCATGGGTGTCGGAAATACTCCCATCCAAAACTGACTGCCAAAAACAGTATCTCCTATTCTTTTTGAGAGGACTTTTGACTTCATAAATTGGTAATAAAATGGGCATTTATATAAACTTGTGACTTGACTTGTCAAAGTCCTGAGTACTTTGTGAAGAACAGAAATGATTATGTTCTTACGCCTCTATCTGTAGGGGTCTGAGGATGTATATACAAGTTGCAAGTCCTTCTGACTCTTGATAAGCCCGAGCTTAACCAAAATAATCGCAATTTTCCTGAGCCCTAATTCACTGTTATGCAACTGAGCATTGCTCACACTGGACAAGTGCCATGGGCTGAGGGTGCAGTTCACTTGGGTGATGACAATGCAGCTTACAACTTTTGAACAGTTAACCTGATAGAAGTAGCATGATTTATACCAGTGGTTTCTGGAATGATTGAAACTTAATCTCTTCTGTGACATTTTCAAGATGCTGAAGACTCATACTACAAAAACCATCACAAAGAGTTAAATTCAAAGAAATAAGTTCACAATAGAAGTATACTAAATAACTACACTGTGGCTGCCAGTGAACTCTGGTACAGTTGATGGTTAACACACCTCAGACAAACTCAGGAAGCATTTCTCTAGACCATACAGCCAGACCCAGGTGGTTCTGTGTTTGTCTTCAATGTTTCTCATCAACTTCAAGGTCACCCTTTGTAATCCTTGGGATTAGAAGATCATATTGTTGTAACTAGTTTTAAGTAGTTGAGGTGAAAAACATTTTAATGTGAATTTATCAAAATACTGGTTTTGTGTTTTAACCAACTTCTCTACATAAAAAGTATGTCATGGCGTGGTTTGATTACAAGTTCAGAGTCCCTTCATCTTGAAACAGTGATCACAGAACAAGGTATTCTAGAGTAAAAAGCACTCCTTTCTCACAAAGTAAGAACTGTGATTTTTGTTTTAAAGAAGTGAATCCATGTAAAGTAGTTTTCCTCTTTTATGATCTGAACAGTTATTTTTATTCTATATCAGTAAGATTTAAATTTTTATTTCCATTTTGGTCTGATTTTGATTCCTGATGAAAAGAAAACAGTATACTAGGCATAAGAGGGGAGTTAATAACCTTGAGAAAGGTATGTGCAAGAATAAAGTAAGGTGGGGAGGTGCGGTACATATTAATGCATACTAACAGATCTGAATTCTGACCCCGATCTCCAAATTTGATGTTTTCAGAGAAACAGGAAAAGTCAGGTTCAGTTCACAGTGCCAGTCTTGAATGCACGTAAACGGGACAGAGAGCCACAAACCCGTTGTGTGGTCCCTTGGACAATCAGTCTACACTGTGACTACCTCTTTTCTCTTAGAAAGTGGTTGGAGACGTGGTCCTTTATCTTACATAAGAATTCTAAACTGGAGATAAAGCTTTGATGGGTGCACAGTAGGGGACCCAGGTGGTGAAATCACTTGAAAGCCCCACATTTTAGAGGAGGAGGAGGCTGCAAAGCATTTGGAGAAGGAATGGTCAGAGGTAAGAAAAGTATCAGGGCAGGTGGGAAGGGAAAAGCGTGTCAGCAGGGCCAAAGGTCACCCTGAGAACAGCAGTCGCTCTCAGTGCTCCCCATGTGGCTCCCTCCTCAGGCTGTCTCTCTGACCTGGCCTTTGCCTTAAGCTGCACTCATATATCCAAGTACATACTGACCATCTAAACTTAGAAGTTGCACAGGCACTTTAAAATCCACTTCACCATAACACCTGGAAATCTTCCCACTCTCCCCACCACTGCCAACCTATGACTCCTGTTTATTCCCCCCAAGTTAATGACATCATTATCCAAGCCAGAAGCTTGGACACTATTCTAGATTCCTCCCTCACCTTCCCTATCTCACCACCCACCCAGTCCTGCCAATTTGACCTCCAAATAATTTCTTTAAACAATTCCTGGCGCCGGCCCAGTGGCGCAGTGGTTAAGTTTGGCTCCCTCTGCTTCGTCGGCCCAGGGTTTGCAGGTTCAGATCCTGGGCGCAGACCTACATCGCTCATCAAGCCATGCTGTGGCAGTGACCCACATGCAAAATAGAGGAAGATGGGCACAGATGTTAGCTCAGGGCCACTCTTCCTCAAGCAAAAAGAGGAAGACTGGCAACAGGTGTTAGCTCAGGGCCAATCTTCCTCACCAAAAAAATAAAATAAACAATTCCTGCTACTTATCCCTACTGCCTACTACTGCCCTACTGCAAGCCTACATTTTTTGCTACACAATTGTTCTATTTTTTTTTTTTTGCCTCTTTCAAATCTAACCACACACTGCTACCCGGTAATATCTCTAAAATGAATAAGTGAGAATGACTCCCTGCCCCACCCACTGAGGCGCCATCACCCAGAGGACAAAGCCCAGCCTCCTTGGCGTGGCATACAAGGCCTCCCATGCCTGCCTCTGCCCCTCTGGCCTCACCTCCTGACAGTTCTCCTACTTCACATTTAGCAATAGCACACCAAGCTTTGACATTTGTGTTTGTGCCACACTTCTACCTGGAATACTCTACCCTTTCCTGTCTCTGCCTGGTGAATTCTTGCCCTTTTAAGATTCTCTCACCTCCTCCAGGATACCTTCCCAAACCAGCCTTATTCACTGCACATCCCAACCCCACCTTTCACTAGGCTAAGAGCCCCCGCTTTGTGCTGTATACTTCCTTGTCTATACTTCAATTGCTGGACTTTTCTTTTTCCCAGAAAACAATTGTTAATTGACTAGATATTTGTCAGATTTTGCATGAGGTGCAAATAGAACAGATATTGTCCCTGCTCTCACAAAACTTATAATCTGGAGGCCAACCACAAGTGGTGAACCAAAATGATCAATATGTGAATGTACCCAGCCGCCTCTGTCTGCTAAAGACTTTGCCTCTCAACTCTTTTCCCCTGTGCCGTGAGAAAAATGCCTCTCTCAGAGCAGTTCCGAATGTTTGCGACTCAAAATAAGAGAATAGGCAGAAAACATTTGAAGGGAGAGCCCTAGGGGCAAAATTTATGAAGAAAAGCTAAACGAATCCACACAGGATTGGGGAGAATTAAAGTAGAGAGAAAATGAAGTATGAACCTGTGGGACTGTTGGAAACTGACTTGGGCCCCTTTGATGCTTTTTTCTTCCACGTTAAAGACTAAAAGACATTTTAAAATTATTTTTGGCTGAGTTACACTTGTTTGAATGAAACTCCATGTGGAGACTAGACTCTGGCTCCAGGATTTATAAGGCATCTGAACAAATAAATATATAGCAATATAAGTCACACTAAATGCCTTGAAGAAAATGACAGAGTGCCATGAAAGAATAATGGGGCCGGGGTGGGGAGAATATGTATATACTTAGGTTCGTCAGGCAAGGCCTTTATGCTGAGGGAACATGATATTTAGTGTTCACGTGACGTGTGTTCAGAATGCCCAGCACTTTTGAACACCTTTGTAATATCTGAGGAATTTCCTGTGAGAAAACGTGCCTCTGGGACCCCCTTTGCAGCAGAGGCATGTGACCTAGGTCCTACCAATCAGGCATTGTCATGCGAAACTTCAACCTGAAAAATGAAGTTGGAAAGATTCCAACTTTGTTTTGCAAGAAAGATTTGCAAGATGAAGAAGGAAATGTGCACAGCTCTGGCTACCCAGTGGTGAGGGTGGTAAGGGTACCAGAGGCAGAGCTCTTGGCGCCCAGTCCTTATTTTTGTAGACTGTATTTGTAGAGGTTGTGGTTTTGGTGTCAAGTGGTGGCAGCAGCAGTGGACTTTCACTCGAGCCTCTAGTGTCTGGGTCTTGTACCTGGCTGTGCTGCACCCACATCCGGCCTCTGGTCTTCCTGGAGCTTCTGTGGGATACATAATATTAGTCAAGTCCCTTTCTCAGCCAGAGCAGATTCTGTTTGCAACTAAGAACCTGACTGAATCAAGGTGAGACCCGAAAGATGAGTCAGCCATGGGAAGAGCAGGTGGGGTGAGACTTCTGGGCAGAAGGCACTGAGGAATAAGAGTTGGTTTAAGGAACCGAGAAGAGGCCAGTGTGGTGGGAGTCCATTAGAAGCGGGGAGAGTGGAACTCGACGTGGTCAGAAAAGGAAACAGGGCCCAGAATCCAGTGCTGAAGTCATGGCGAGGAGTTTGTGGTTTATGCAAAGTTTAATGAATCTTGACATGATTTTGACAGGGGAATGCAGGATCTGATTAATGTGTTCTAAAAAACTGCTCCGTGTGGAGCATAAATAAGAAGGGGACAAGAGAGGACATGGGCAAAGTATTAAGGTTACATCATACTGCAATTGTGTCTACATGTCTGTGCCCTTACTAGATCATAAATTCCTTCAAGTCAAAAACCATGTCTAATTCAAGCGCATAGAAGGTGCTCAGTGTATTAAACAAAACTGCATATATACAATAATGCATTGAATTCTTATAACAAATCTGCTAGGCAGGTATTATGCCCATTTCATAGAGGAAAAAAACTGGTGATTAGAGAGATCTATGTGCTAGGCACTGTCCTAAGAATTTTACACACTAATTATATATTAACACACTAATCCTCACAACAATTTCAGGAGGTATATGCTGTTTTATCCCCATTTTACAGATGAGGCACAGAGAGGTTATGTAAGAAGCTCGAGGTTACACAGCTAATAGGTGGTAAAGCCGGGATTTGAATCCAGGCAGTTGGCTCCAGAGGCTCTACTCTTAACCAGCATGCAAGAGCGCCTCATATGGGTACTGATCGACTCTACATGTTTATAGAAAAATATAAATTTAAATGAGTTAAAATATCATAAGAGTAACCACTAGAATAAAAGTTGGATGTATAACTTTCAAAACACTAGAGAAAAAAAAAATTTGGAAAAAGAAACTTTATCAAATCAAAGACAGAAAAGAGAAGAAAACAACAGGAAGCATGATACATAGAAAAAACAAGTTAGAATTAAATCCAAACATGTAAATATGAATGAGTTAAATTTTACTATTAAAAGAGAAATAACGCAAATGTGGGGGGCACATGTATACGCTTTTTAAATACATGTCTAACACAAAACACAGCTAACAACTCCATTACTGGGTATATATTCAGAGATGCTCTTGCACACGTATACCAGGAGACACATCCAAGAGAGTTTACTACCAGCATTGCTTATAATAGCAAAAAACTGGGGAAAAAAATAAACAAACAAGGGATGGTATGGATATGGAGCAACACAAACTCTCTCACACTGCTGGTGGAAGGGTAAACTGGTAAGCACTGGAGAACAATTTGGCAATATCAAATAAAGTTGAATTGCGCAAACCCTTCTACCTTGCAATTCCATTTCTAGACATATACCTAAAACTTCTTGTCATGTGCCCAAGATGTGTACAAGAATGTCCATTAACTCCTGTTCTAGTGGCAAAAATCAGGAACCATTAAATTACTACCAACAGGAGAATGGATAAATTGCTTTATATCATACAATGCAATACTATTCAGCAGTTAAGATGAAAAAACTAGAACTACCAGAATCAACATGGATAACTTCCACAAACTTAATTTTGGGTGACAAAAACAAGTTACACAATGGTATCATTTATATTAGGTTTGAAAACATACAAAACAATACTATATGTTACTTATATAGCTACATATATATGTAGCACGTATAAAAGCTTTCATGGAAATGATAGATAACACATCCAGGGGAGGAGTTAATTTAGGGGAAGAAGAGAGGGAGAATGAGATTGCAGAAGGGGTCACAGGGGGCTCTAACTGAACAGGTAATATTAAAATCTGAAGCAAATATGGAAAAATGCTAAAATATGATAAAGTTAGGTGGTCAGTATATAGGTGTTCTTTATACTATTCTCTGTAACTTTATACATGTTTGTAATATTTCATATTAAACATTTTAAAGAAAATAAGCTTTCAACTCAAGATTCTACAAAAAGAACAAAATAAACCCAAAGAAATAAGAAGGAAGAAATTAATGAACGTATACATTGATGAAAGAGAAAAAACTTCTAAGACAGAGGTTATCAATAAAATCAAAAGCTGGTACAATAAATCTGATTAAAAAAAAAGAAAAAAAGACTCCCATAGAATATGTAAGAATGGATAAGCACAATACGAGATCAAAAAACGTTAATAATACCATGGACAATTTTATAACAATAAATTTGAAAATGTAGATGAAATGGATACTTTTCTAGGAAAAAGTATGTATCTCTTAAAAAGGCACCACACCCAGATAGCTTTAAAGATGAGTTCTTCAAAACCTAAGGAATAGATCATTCACATGCGGTGTCTATTCCAGGTCATACAATAAGAAGTTAACCTGCCTGACTCATTTTGACACCTAGCAAAAACTGATATCAAAACTAGACAACAACAAAAGAAAACCATAAGCCAATCTCACGAACATAGACACAAAAATCCTAAATTAAATACACAGCAAATTGCATCCAGCAACGTATTGGAAGAATACATACCAGGATTGTAAGGATGGCTAAATATTAGAAAATCTATTATTGTAGTTCTATTATTGTACGGTAATGGAGAAAAGCCATATGATCATCTCTGAAAGTATCTGGTAATACTCAATACCCATTTCTGATATTAAGAAACAATAAAACGACTTGGCAAGCTAGGAAAAGAACGAAGTGCTTTTAATTTTTAAAAAAGGTTATCCACCAGCAACCTTCAGAAAACATCATGAACCAAAGGTAAGATGCAATCCAAATAACTTCTAGAAAGAAGTACCCCTAAGGCTACTATATAGTGTTGTACTGGATTCTTGGGAAAAGCCAAAATTGTCACTTACAGATGAATCTTACCTACAAAATCCAAGAGAACTATTAGAATACTAACGTTTAGCGAAGTAACCAGATAGATCAACATACCGAAAACCAAACTATCCTAGGGCGCAGTAATAGTCCATAAGGAAGACCAAACAAACTAAAACAGCAACAAAAACTGCGAGGGAAAAATATAAAAAGAAATGTGCAAAACAGCAAGACAACTGGAAGACTTCCCCTGAATAACAAGGGAAGACTTGAATTCATAGAGAAATAACCACGTTGCTGGATGGGAAGTCTCAATACCGCACTGGTATCAAATCTGGGCAAATTAATCTATCCAAAAACAAATCCCGGACAAACGTCATTTGGTGACAGTACGCTACAGAACCGGGCTCTACGCTTTGGGGTTCTTGACGTCTGCGGAAACGCTCTGCAAACAGTCAAACCACAGGCGGAAAACCCGCCCGCACGCCCGCGATCCCAGCGGAAAGCCCTGCGGCCGGAAGAGCCGCGTCGGCTCCGCCCCCTTCTGTGTCGTGGGCGGGGCGTTTCCGGCCGGCTGAGGCGCCCGCGCTGGTAGGCCCCGCCCCGTTCCACACCACGCGACACCGCGCAGTCGGGTGTGGGGCTCCGTGGCGTTCGCCACCCTGGTTCCTCAGCACCCTTGGGCTGGGGCTGTCGAGCCCGCCCAAAAAGGTCGTTTCCCCTGCGGTTTCCAGTAAGTGACGGTCCCAGTCGGAGCTGTGGCTAGAAAAGGTCGCGCCGGCATTTTCTTCCCACCTCCGCCTTTCCCCCAGCCCCCCTTGAGTCTCCCCGGCTTCTCGGTCACCCGTGGACGGTCCGCCCCCGTTCCCCAAATCGGGCCGCTTCCGGCGCTCGGGGTTTCCCCGGAAGATGTGTCCTTTCCCCTGAGCGCTTCGTTAATATGGAACGATCGCCGACTTCTCATGTATGTTATGGAGGGTGTGTTCTGGGTCCGACACCCCTCCCCGCTCTTCCTCTTCCTACCGCGGACCCCCCTAGGTAGACGCCGTGGCGATGCTCCCGCCGCCGCCTCTTCCCCCAGCTGGGTTTGGAGTCTCCCCTTTCTGTCTGCTTCAGAATCTTCGCCCTTCTAAAGAAAGTCTTTACCAAGGGCCACCCCTCTCAGCGCAGCGCCCCACCTCCCCTCCCCAAACCCCCTTCTCTTAGTAAATAGTAGCGACAGTTAACGAAAGAATGCCTGAAGAGTAAGACACTGACCTAAGCGTTCTGCACGCATTATTTTATTCCATCATCGCCACAATCCTTGGGTAGATACAAACCAGAAAAGTGAGGCACGAAACAGTTAAATAATTTGCTCGAGGTGGCTTGGATGTGATGGAGTTGAAATTTGAATCCATTGTGTAGCCCACTCCAAAGCTGGTGTTGTCACCCCTTTCTCTTTCCCCAGTACCTGGGCATCCCCTTTTTAGTTGCTTCTCCTGAGGAACTTTTTCTGAATGCTGTCTAGAACGACCCTGTTTCTGGAAATTTGGCCTCTGTCTAAGAACGTTCTCAGAGCTCTCTTTACACATACCTTTGAGTGGTCCAGTTTATCAGGTATCTAAGCTCCGAGCTTTGTAGTATTTTTTCATCCCCAAAATGTGCTTATGCCTCTTTAAAAATGTACTCCTAGCCCAGTGCTCATTAATCAGCCCTCTTCCCCTGCCTCAGTATGACTCATTCTCAATAGCGCTGTTCTCAGCAAACGTTTGAGCAGCTGGTGTATCTAAGACGATAAAGATAATTGCAGTTTCAAAGAACTCCGAGGTTTAGTTTCTGACCTCAAGGAGAAATATGACATTTATTCATAAAAAGACCAAGCAAATAGCAGATAAACAGTAACTCAGTTGCACAGAAGAAAAATTCTGCAGGAGTGACTTTGGACAAGATAGTTAAGTGCTAAACTTGTTTCTTGATCTGTAAATGTTAAGGTTAGGCGAGGTCATTAAAATTTTGTCAATCTAAGTTCAGGGAAAGGAGTGATCACTCTGTACTGAGATGGGAAACTGCTGGAGAGGCTCTATGGTGTGTTCTTGATACATTACAGTGACAAGGATTAGGTTGAAGGCTTCTCTTTGCGCTTTGAACATCTGATAATGGTTGTGGACCTTGCTCTGGAAACAAAATTCACATTCATACAACATTTTATGTTCAATTTTTAGGAGATTCATCACCCACCCCTCCCCTCCAAAGCATATGTGTTAACCCCTGATTTAGGGAAATGAAATGAACTGCAGTTCAAAAGGCAAGGCTAAGCCAGATGTGGAAGGCCTTTATCTTGTAGGCGGTGTGGAACCGTTGGAGGTTTAAAGATAAGTCTGGCATCAGTGTGAAGGATGAATTTAAGTGGGGAAAGGCAGCGAGACGAGTTAGGCAGCAGGTGGAGTAATTTAGGTAGATAGTTTAGGAGATATTAAAGGGCTGTGCCAAGCAGTATTGGGAATGGGGGGAAATTGCAAGAAATATTGGCAAGGACAAATCAAAAGGGCTTGGTATCTGACTGGATATGGAATTGAAAGACAGGAAGGAGTCAGTGATAAATGACAAGGTCTGAAGTCTGTACAGCTGCAGTTATGTCCTTTCTCTACTTTGTCTTCTGTTTTTTATTGTACTAGGTCATTCCTATAGCATACATGCTCTAAGAGGCCATATCACTACTGATGATGGACGTTAAAAAGCATAATAAGGGAATTTTACAAACAACTCTATACTCATAAATTCAACAACTCAGATGAAATGAACCACTATCAAAACAACCAAAACTCACCCAGGAAGAAACAGATAAGCTGAATAGTTCTGTAACTATTAAATAAATTGAATTTGTATTGAAAAACCTAAACAAAAAAAACCCCAGAAAACTCCAGGCCCATATAGTTTCACTGGTGAATTTTATCAAACATTTAAGGACAAAATAAAAGCCATTCTACAGAGCTCTTCCAGAAGAGAGAAGAGGAAGGAAAACTTTCCAACTCGTTTTATAAAGCCAACATTACCTGATACCAAAACCAGATAAAAGCAATACTAAAAAAAGAAGACTAAATCAATATCCTTCATGAACAAAGATGCAAGAATACCAAAAACAATATTAGCAATTGAATCCAGCAACATGTAAAAAGAAAAATTCGTTGTGACTGTCTTTTGACATTCCAGGAATTCAAAGCTGATTCAACACTTGAAAATCAATTTGTGTAACCCACCATATTAACAGACTAAACAAGAAAAAGTACATGACCCTATCAATAGATGGAAGAGAAAAACAACACAACAAAATTCAACATCCATAATTTTAAAAACTCAGCACCATGAACCCGACAGTTTCATCTGTGTAAAGAAAAAAAATGTCGGTTCAACTAAGGTGAGGGAAAATCATATTTTGAGCCCCAAACAGAATCTAATCCATCTAGAGGTCTTTGGTTCTTTAACAGCTATAGGAATGACCACCATCTGTAATCCAGAGGACTGGCTGGTGTGACTTGCTTCACAAGAGGACACTGTGGCTGGAACTCCTGACCAGCTGAGCTTTGCCTAGCCTGACTTGGGCTTCCCAAGCCAAGACTGCTTGCTCCTGCAATTCAGCACCTCTACCCCCACCCCATCAAAGAGGCCACATCGCTGAAATGGCAGAGAGATGGTGAAGAGTGAGGAGGGATGGTAGCATTTGACATGGTGTTGGTAGTCTCTCTAAGAGATGGCATTGACTACTTTTCTGTTTTTCTTTCCATCTTAAAAATTTTGCGTTTTTACAGAGAGCAAACAGAATGTGTACATAAAAAAGCTTCAGAAAGTATGTAACAGTCTTCATATCAATGTTCGAAACAAAAACAACTCAGCAAACTAGGGATAGAAGGGAATCTGATAAAAGGCATCTACAAAACCTAGAGCTAACATCATCATACTTAATGGTGAAAGACTGAATGTCCCCTACCCGCAAGATTGGGAACCAGATGAGGATGTTTATTTTCACAACTCCTGTTCAGTATTTTACTGGAAGTCCTAGCAATTGCAGTAAGGAAGAAAAAGAAATAAAAAGCATTCTGATTGGAAAGGAAGAAATAAAATTATTCCTATGTTCAGATGGCATAATAGTCTGTGTAGTAAATCTCAAGAAATTTACAAAGAAGCTCTTAGTGCTAATAAGTGAATTTAGCAGGGTGTGGGATAAAAGGTTAACATAAAAAAGTCAATTATATTTCTACACTAGCAATAAACAATTGGAAACTGACCCCCACTCCCCTCTCCCATAAATGAAATACTTAGGTATAAATCTAAAAAAAATATGCTCAGGATCTTTATGCTGAAAACCAGAAAACATTGATGAAAGAAATCAAAGAACACCCATACTATGTTCGTGGATTAGAAGATTCAGTACAGTTAAGATGTCAATTCTTGGGGCCAGCCTGGTGGTGCAAGCGGTTAAGTGCATGCAGTCCGCTGCGGCAGCCTGGGGTCCGCCGGTTCGGATCCCGGGCGCGCACCGACGCACTGCTTGGCAAGCCATGCTGTGGCGGCGTCCCACATAAAGCGGAGGAGGATGGGCATGGATGTTAGCCCAGGGCCAGTCTTCCTCAGCAAAAAAAGAGGAGGATTGGCAGATGTTAGCTCAGGGCCGATCTTCCTCACAAAAAAAAAGATGTCAATTCTCCCTAAATTGATCTATGCATTTAATGCAATTGCACTAAAAATACTAGCAGGATTTTTGTAGATATTAAATTAGTTGATTCTGAAGTTATAAGGAAAGGTAAAGGAACTAGAATAGCAAAAACAATTCTGCAAATGAAGAGCAAAGTTGAAGAGTTCACACAACCTGATTTTAAGACTTAACTATAAAGCTACAGTAATCAAGACAGTGTGAGACTGGTGAAAGGTTAGTTACATAGACCAGTGGAACAGAACAGAGTCCAGAAATAGACCCACAGAAATACGGCCAATTGATTTTTAACAGCGGTGCAAATGCAATTCAATGGAGAAAGGACAGCCCTTTCAATTCGTGGTGCTGGGAAAACTGGATATCCATATGTGAAAAATGAACCTTGACCTACATCTTACACCATATATAAAAAAATAACTCAAAATGGATGATAGACCTAAAAGTAAGAGCTAAAAATATAAAACTCTTGAGGAAAACATAGGAGAAAATCTTTGTGATCTTGGATTAGGCAAAGAGTTCTTGGATACAACCCCAAAAGCACTATCTGTAAAGGAAAAAAATTGATAAGTTGGACTTTTATCAAAATTAAAGTCTTTTGCTACATGAAGGACATTACAAAGAGAATGAAAGACAAGGGATATTGGGAGAAAATATTTGCAAATCACATTCTTAACAGACTTGTATCCAGAATATATAAAGAATTTTCAAAACCTAACCAGAAAACAATTCAATAAAAAATGGGCAAAAATTGAACATACACTTCACTAAAAAAGATATACAGATAGCAAATAAGCACTGAAAAGATGTTTAACATCATTAATCATTAAGGAAATGTGATTAAAACCACAGGAAACATTACACACCTATTAGAATGGATAAAATAAAAAATAACAATACCAAGTGCTGGCCAGGATGTGGAGAAACTGGAACATTCATACATTGCTGTGGGAATGCAGAATGCCACTCTGGAGAACAATTATGCAGTCTCTTATAAAGTTAAGCATACATTTACCATATAACCCAGCAATTCCACTTCTACATGTTTA